GTCCTTGAACTTCACAGCTCTGTGTTGCACATTAGAGCTCTCCAGTTGTTTCCTGCCTGTGACCGTCTTCACATCTGCCGTTAACTCGCTTTTGCAAAGACCCTCTCTGTCTTGCTCTTTATTTCCTGAAGAAATGATTATATAAATCATTACATAGAGCGATGCTTCATTTAGTTAGACATTTTTAGAAGCTAGAGAGGTGGGCCACGTTTAAAAATGTAAACAGGAGAACCTGTTGGTGGAGCAGTGGTATTGCCAGTGGGCAGGCCTGTATGCTACCAGCCAGTTCATGGCATTGGAAACCATGGAAGACGGGCTGCCCTGGTCAGTGAGTTCTTGGGGTCACAGAAAAGTACTGAGGGAAAAATTTCATCCTCATGGATATAAAAATAGGTTTCATGCATGTGTTTGTTCAACACATATTTATTGAACATCTTAAAGTTACGGTGCTTGAGGATAAATTGGTGAAATGTTGCAACAGTCCACCAAGAGAATGGCAAGAGCAGTATGAAAATAAACACCAACTTATGCTTATACTTAAGTACGGATAACACTGTTCTTGGTGACATATACAAGTATCATGTTGCATGTCTGAAAATGGATATAATGTCAATTATACTAAAACACACGCACATTTTCGTTGGAAAACAGAGTCAGAAACAAGACAACCGTGAGTCATGATCCTGATTCTCTCCATTACTCTCACCAGAAGCAATCCGAACCGCAGGCCTGTTTGTCTAGACACTGCTATCCTGAAGCATACACGTGTACAGATGGAGTAACCCGCTGCCCTTGAGCTAGGCTCACTTCCGATTGAAACTGGACCTTTAATAACAATCCGGGATACCACAACTTGTTAAGAAAAATGAGGAAGCAGAAGAGATTTCTCTCATATCAAGGAGTCAAAATCTCCCATTTCTCAGTATTATAAAACGATATTTCTATTATTTCAGATGATGCAATGCATAAATAATTACCATAATATCTGCTTTCTACTGAGATAAATCTGTTATAAATCTAGCTCAACAAAACAAAAGTACATTGCTACTACGCAGAAGATGGATTTTTTCCTTAATGCTTTAAAACAGGACACTATATTTGTCTTGCCTAAATAGATACCAGCTCAGTGTTACATACATATAATTAACATTATCCAAAAAAGCAAAATAAACATAAAATAATTCCTCATTTCCGTAAGGACAAAAGTAGGAATTTATATATTTTATCTTATTTGTTGAAGCTGTATGAGTTGGCTTTCATCTTCTAAAAGCTTAAGAATAAAATGCAAAATTTCCCTGTGAGCATAGCAACAAGAAATTTAAAGCACAAAAAGATTCTGCACAAAGGGAGCCATTAACAACATATAAAGGCATCCTACTGAACAGAGAAAAATATTTGCAAATCTGTGTCAGATAAGGGATTAATATCCAAAATATAAAAGAAACTCAATAGCAAAACCAAACAAACAACAATACACCAATATGAGTTAAAAATGGGCAGAGGATCTGAATAGACATTTTTCCAAAGAAGACATTCAGATAGCCAACTGGTATATGAAAAGGTGCTTAACATCACAAATCATTAAGAAAATGCAAATCAAAAGCACAACGACTCTGGCCTGTATGGCTCCACTGGTTGGGACATCACTCTGTACCAAAGAGTTCTGGTTCGATTCTCAGGCAGGGCACATGCGGGGTCAATCCCCACTCGTTCAGGGCGCATCTGGGAGGCAACCGATTGATGTGTCTCTCTCACATGGAGGTTTCTCTCTCTCACTCTCCCCCCACCCTTCTTCTCTCTAAAATCAACAAAAGCATAACTTTTGGTGAAGATTTAAACACACACACATATACACAGACCATGAAATATCACCTCTCACCTGTTAAAAAGGTTAATACCAAAAAGACAAATAACAAGTGTTGAAAAGAACATGAATAGGGAACACTTGTGTTCTGTTGGCAATGTTACCAAGTATTGGCGAAGCCACTATGAAAAACAGAGTGGAGGTTCTGCAAAAAATTAAACATAATCTATCATCTAATCCAGCAATTGTACCTCTGGGTATTCATCTGAAGAACATGAAAACACTAACTCAGACAGATACGTGCACCCATGTTCACTGCAGCCTTATTTACAATAGCAAAGACTTGTAAATTAAAGGACCAACTGAGGTTTCATCAGTGAATAATGGATAAAGAAAATGTGATCACACACAGGGATACATACAACGGGACATTATTCAGCCATAAAAAATAATAAAATCTTGCCTTTGCAACAACAGGGATGAACCCTGAGGGCATTATGCGAAGTGAAATAAGCCAAAGACAAACACCACATGATCTCACTTATAAAACCAAGTGCACAGATACCATGGACCCATTGGTGGTGGCCAGAGACGGGTGGGGAATGAGAAAAACAGGCAAAGGAAGTCAAAGGGCACAAGCTGCCGATTACAGTTTGTGTCTAATACAAACAGCATGGTGTCTTGTCCAACACGGTACCTGTAGTTAACAACACGGTGTTGCATATTTGGAAGTTGCTCAGGGTACATCTTGAAAATTTTCATCCCAGGAAAAAAGTGAGTAACAATGTGTGGTGACAGATGCTACCTAGGCTTATTGGGATAATTTCACAATGTATACAAATATTGAACCAGTATGCTATACATCTGAAACTAATATAATGTGTATGTCAGTTACGCCTCCATACAAAACAGAGGGAAGTGAGTTCCCCCAATATCATAACTTAAAGACACAGAAGAAGACGAGACGCGGAAAGGACACCAGGAGCGTGTTTCTCAGCCGAAGAGCTCGCCTTTCTCATGAGGAGAGTGTTCCTCTGCCTCGGAGCCTCTGCCTGGGAGCTCGGCCCACCCTCTCTGGCCACTTGCTGGGTTCATCTGCCACATCTCTCTTCGAACCTCAACATAGAAATACTGATGCGCTTTTCATCACATAAATAAACTCCTGTTATTAATAAATTTGGGTTCTTTTTCTTTTGTGGCCATTAAGTGCATGTACTTTTATAAGACCTGATCCTTTTCACTACTCATCAACAACTTACACCCACTATCATCTTGAAATGGTGAAAATGGTAAATTTTATGTTATGTGTATTGTATTACAATTAAAAATAAATAAATAAATAAAATTGTATTAGTGATTATATTAAACAATATGGTTAGAGGGGAATCATAGCTATAAGTACCTTCTTAAAAAAGGCTTCTGATTTATCAACAACCTAACATTCCACTTTAAGAAACTGCAAAAGAGAAAGAAAAAAACAAAAACAAACTCTGCTGGCCTGATCTCACCCCCAACTGTCCTTCCCTGCCAGCCTGATCACCCCCAACTGCCTTCCGCTGTTGGCATGATGGCCCCCAACTGCCCTCTCCTGCAGGCCTAGTCCCCTACAACTGCCCTCCTCTGCTGGCAAATTTGGTTCTGATTGGTCAGTTTCTATGCCAGTTAGCATCAAAAGCTCCTCCTCCTAGGAAGCCATTGGCTTCTCACAGTTGACCCAGATTTGGTTCTGATTGGTCGGTTTCTATGCCAGTCAGCATCTCTGGGCCTATCAATGGGGCCTGATCAGAAAGGTGGGCCTGATCAGCAGCCCTGGTGGAGGCCTGGAGAGAAATGGAGGCATGGCTGCTGGCCAGGCCCAGAGAGAAAGAGAGAGGCAAGTGCTGATCAAAAGCAGCCTCAGAGGCTACGGATCAGACCCTGCTTCTCTCTTCAGGCCTCTCTCTGGGCCTGATTTACAGCCCCCTCAGCAGTCAGTGCATCAACAACTTTTTTTTAACCCAAAACATTTTTAATATTATTGTCCAAAATGTTTATAAAAGAATACCATGCTTTAAATTATTCAATTTTTAAACCAATCTATAATTAAGGTCTTGAACTAGATGAATAAAACTCAAGGTTTTTAAAAATCAAACTAAAGTATATATGAAGCATAGCTTTATGGCAAAATATCAGAGTGATAATGATTAAACAAGACCTAAATCAGGGCCCCACCCTACATTATTGTAGTCATACTAAATAGTGACAATGAGAAACTGTCTACATCCTATGAATACTGTTAATGACAGAACTTTTTTTTTAAATTAAAATGGCAAGAATACAAATAGCTAATATCAGTAAAATGCAGTAGTGTTCAGGCTCTTAATTCAAAATCAATGGACAGAAAAGGGAAGAGATTTAGGGGATTTTAGGGGAAATAAGGAAACACCAATGGAGATGTTACTCTGAAAACCAACAGCTGTCACAGGCAAAAAACAATAAAAAATAAGTAAAATGGCAATTAAGTTGATTGTAGTACTTTAATGTTTTAGAGAAAACTTATTAAAAATACAGATTTAAAAAATCTTACATTCTTGACAGATATAGCATCACCTGCCTTTCTAAAAAATAGTATAGGTAAACACAATTGCAGAAATGTATGTTAATCAGTGGTACAATATTATGGATTTAAAATCCTGACAATCTCCTACTATCTGTTGCTTTGAAATCAGATTGTGGCCTGGAATTTGCATTGGGCTGGGTCCAAAGTGGCATATTGAGACCCAGGTCAGTATCAGCAAACTGTGCCTGTTTTGGCAGAACTTCTCCAGCCAAGAAAGGATAAATAACTAAGAAAAATAACCATCCAATTATATGAGGTACCACGAAAGGAAAGGAAATCAGTTTTGTAAAAAACACTTTTCCTTCTTTTTATAAGCTTCTTTATTTACTCCAGATAGTTAACAGTGTTCAATAGTGAAGTAAGTGGGTTTTATACTCACTGTTACTGTATGGGTAGAGAGAGCCACACACATTTTAATTTTTATAAGTCATCTCTGATCTCTGCAATTTGGCACATGAGAAAAGAGATTCAGAGGCACAAAGTTAATATATACCTTTAACATTGTCAAGGTTTCAAAAATAAATGCAATCAAATAGAAAAAAAAAATCAGTTTGACATTTTGACCTTTCCCAAGGATGTGAAGAATCTTTTCACATGTCAGAAATCTCTATAGCAAAGATTCCTATGAGAGAGAAGAAAATTGTACAGATTAATATTTTTAATTCAAAGATTTCACCATGTATAAAAATATATTCTAATATTACCTCAGCAATACTTAAGATTTTTACCAACCTTTTTGCTCAGTTTTTACAAATGGGTGATACATCCATGTCTTGGAATCATAGTCGACAATAAAACTGAATGGATTATTATTATATACAACTTGAATATAATAATATTGTGCTAAATGAAAGAACATTGTGCTAAATGAAAAATATATATATATCTCAAAAGATACATAGTATTTATGATTCCATTTCTATAACATTATCAAAATGACAGAATTATACAGGTGTAGAAGAAATTAGTGTTTGCCAGGTGGTGGGTGTGTGCTTTGATTATGAAGGGATATCATGAGAGATTGAGTTCCTTGTTGCTGATGGAACATTTCAGTGTCTTGATTGTGGTGATGAAATATGGGTGGTGTGTAAAAAAAGCTGTACATACAATGAGTGCAGGCAAAAACTGAAAAAGGTCTATATTAACATTGTACCCAATGTTAATTTCTTTGTTTGTAAGATATTGTCATTGGTAAACTGGGGGAAGAACATGGCTAACTCTCTATAACTATTTTTGCACCTATCAGCTATACTGTAATTCTTTACAGAAAGTAAAATAAAACCAAACTGGTACATCCACACAATGGAATATTATTCAGCAGTTAAAAGGAATATGCAATAACATCTGAAATACATGAAAACCTGGGGAAATCTCAAATATGTTATGCTGAGTGAAAGTCAACATGATAGACTACATACGATAAGATTTCATTTATATGACAGCCTGGAAAGGGCAAAGGGATTAGAAACAGACCAGTGGTAGTAGGAAAGCAAATTAAGTAGATTTATTGTCTAAATAAGAGGTGGCCATCAAAGGTTACCATTTAAAACTAACAGCAAAAGTTAAGTAAGAAGATTCAAAATGATGAAAGAGTAGGTAGAATTTACACTCACCTCCTCCAAGGAGAACTGGAATTGCAACTAAATATAGAACAACCTGAATAATCAAGTAAAAATTAGTTGAACAGAAGTCTTATAACCAAGGATTAATAGAAGAAGCCACATCAAAAATGTAGGAAGGGCAGAGACACAAAAAAGGCCAATCTGCACCCACAGGTGGCAGTTGAGATTCTGGAGGGATATCTCAATTGCAGGGGGTTTCCCATGCGCAGCATGGGGTCTCAAACCCTCACCTAGCTCCCTGGCCCAGAGCGCCAGACCTGGGAAGAGGAGCCCACATAAAATCTGGCTGTGAAAACCAGCAGGGATTCTGTCCTGCAGGGAAGAGGTAGGGGTATGTTGGAGAACCAAACATCTTCTTAGAGCAGCAACACACAAAATCTTATTCACAGCCAGTCACCCTGTATTCCAGCAGAGTGAGGGCAGAGCAGACTAGAGAACTAGGAGAGATAGGTTTATAACTCTGGGGAGAGAGTCAAAGGGGCAGCTGCCAGGATCCCTGTGCTGAGCCCCACACTCAAACTATAGATGCCATTTTTTTTGGGGGGGAACACTCCCCTTCCTTATGGCATTAGCCTGGGGAAATCCAAAAGCCCCATCCTCTCAATTCCCTGCTGCCACAGCCTGCAGAGCTCATGCTTTGCTGAGGAGTGAGCCGACAGGGCCATGGAATAGAGGTCCCAGCAGACTCAGGGGTATCCCTGACTGAGTTATGTGGCTTTGAGATGGGGTCAATCCCCCCACTTTCCTGTGAACTTGGTGGGTGCCTTCCCATCAAGGGAGATACACTAGATTCAACCACTGGGTTCCAGGTGGCCTCATCCCGACTCTTGGTGGTCCCTTCCTGCCACGGAGGCGTGCACTGAATCCGGGACGGATTGAGCTGTGTGGCTCTAGAATGAGGTCCATTTTTCTCTCTCAGAGCCCTCCCTCAATGGCCAAATTTTGGTCTGTTTAGTCTTGAAAAACTGCTGGCCTTGCCCTGACTCCACTCCCTGAGACTCTGCCCTACTACAAAGGTCTGCAGGAACTGGGCAAGAGGTAGCTAGACTTTGCATATCCTGGGACTTTTGCTGAGTGGCCTCTGACCCAGCACTGGTAAGAGTTTGAACTTGTATCAATCTGGTGAACACCACTTTTCCTATCTGGTGACTCACTGACAACCTACTGCATGCAATTTAAGTTCTGTAAGAGGCTCTTCCAGTGACTGATGGCTGTCAGCAGGTGGAGGCAGGCAAAGGAAAACTGCAGATGCCTTTTAACTTTTGATGACCTGTCCCCAGGCTTGGTGCCAGTGGAAGCTGGCCTTGGTATGCAGGTTGGTCTCCCACACACATCAAGGCCCAGCAAAAGCAGCCACAAACTATGGATCACTTTGTGGCTCCAAACAAGTAGCTCTGAGCCAGTCACAGGCAGTGTGTGACATTGACCTGCACCAGTGTCTCTCTCAAAATGCCCAGGGGCCAGCTTCAGACATCAGAACAGGATCTAATTGACTGCGAAAGTGGCGTATCCAAAGGAAGATCTTGGCAGGCACCAGCCCCTGCTGAGGTGAATTTTACTTTATGTGGTTAGCACCTGCACAGCACTCATACTCTGTGATCAGGAACAATCTTCATAATCAGCCATCCTGAATGTCAAACTCACTAATGAACAGGCCAATAGCAAGCACAAGACTCAATCACAACAGGAGGGTCCACATAACACACACAGGGACATTACTAGAGCACACAGCTCAGGTGAGGAAAGGGAGTGCACCACTGGGTCCCACAGGACACCTACTACGTAAGTCCACCCTACCACGACTGGGAGATATAGATCTACCTAATACATAGAAACAAACACAAAGAGACAGACAAAATAGGAAGACAGAGAAACATGCCCCAAGTAAAAGAACAGGAGAAATCTAAAAAAAAAAAAAAAAGAGCTAAATAAAAATGAGGGCAAGCAATTTGAGTTCAAAAATATGTTTATAAAGATGCTAAAGGAACTAGTGAGAACTTCAACAAAGAGATAGCAAGCATAGAAATATATACAGAAACCATAAGAAGAATCAGTCAAAAAGGCATTATACAGTATCTGAAGTGAAGAATACACTAGAAGGAACAAACAGTAGGCTGGATGAAGTAGATTCTGTATCCGAAATTTAGAAGACAAAGTAGTAAAAAACTCTCAATTAGAGCAGCAAAGGAAAATAATTCTAAAATGAGGATAGTTTAAGGGATATTTGAGACAACATGAAGCACAACAACATTCACATCATAGAGGTACAAGAAAAAATAAAAGAGAGAGTGAGAGAGAAAGCAAGGTATTGAGAATCTATTTTAAGAAATAATGGGTGAAAATTTCCCTAACCTGGTGAAGCACAGAGAGTCTGAAACAAGATGTACCTAAAGAGGCCCATATCAAGACACATCATAGTTAAAAAGGCAAAGGTTAAAGACAAAGAGAAAATCTGAAAAGCAGCAAGAGAAAAGCAGTTAGCTACATACAAGGAAGCTCCCATAAGATTGTCAGCTGATTTCTCAACAGACACATTTCAGGCCAGAAGGGATTGGCATTAAATATTCAAAGTAATGAAAAGCAAAGACCTATACCCAAGATTACTTTAACCAGCAAGGTTATCATTTAAAATTGAAGGAAAAAGAGTTTCAAAGACAAGGAAAAGCTAGAGGAGTTTATAACCAATAAACCAGTATTATAAGAAATGTTAAAGGGGTTTTCTTAAAGGTGAAGAAAAATGAAGAGAAAGAGACTGAGAAGGAAGAAGGAGGAGGAGGAGGAGGTGATAGAGAATGAAATGGCAATAAATTTGTACGTATCAATAAATCACTTTAAATATAAGTGGCTTAAATACTCCAATCAAAATACATAGGGTAGTTGAAAACTACCTTGATATTTACAAAATATTTTATTCCATAACAGCAGAATATACATTCTTCTCAAGTACACATAAAATATTCTCAAAGATAGCCTACCTCAAGAAACAAGAATAATCTCAAATAAACAATCTAACTGTTAACTCAAAGGAATTAGAAAAGAAGCAACATCAAAAAAGCCCAGAGTAAATTGAAGAAATAAAATAATAAAGATCACAGTAGACATAAATGACATGGAGACTAAAAAAAATACAAAAGATCAACGAAACAAAGAACTGGTTCTTTGACACAATAAAAAAAGACTGACAGCCCTTTAACCAGAGTGACCACCAAAATATCGATAAATAAATAAATAAATAAATAAATAAATAAATAATAAAAAAGAGAGAATGCAATAAATAAAATTAGAAATAAAAGAGAAGTAATGATTATAAAAGGTTATAGGAAAATAATATGAACAACTATATGCCAAAAATTGAATAACAAATTGAAATGAATAAATTCCTAGGAAGTACAATCTCCCAAATTGAATCAGGAGAATCAGAAAACCTGAGTAGATGATTATAACTAATAAAATTGAAGCAGCAATGATAAAACTCTCAGCAAACAAAAGTCCTGGGCTGGATAATTTCATAGGTGAATTTTACCAAACATTTAAAGAAGAACTAACACCTATCCTTCTTCAAACTATAATATTAAAAACAATTCAAGAGAAGGGAAGACTTCCACAGATCCGCATTATCTAATTCTAAAACCAGATAAAGACACTACCAAAAAAAAAATAAAATTATAGACCAATATCCCTGATGAACATATGATAGATGCTAAAAATCTCAACAAAATATTAACAAACTAAATCCAGCAGTACATTAAAGATTTATTCCAGGATGATGGTTGGTAAAATATCTGCAAATCAATAAATGTGATATAGTACATAAACAAAATGAAGAATAAAAATCATGTCATTATATCAATACATGCATAAAAAACATTTGGTAAAACCCAGCACCCATTTATGATAAAAACTCTCCACAATGTGGCAATAGAGGGATCATAACACAACATAATAAAGGCCACATATGACAAAACCAGATCCAACATACTCAATGGGCAAAAACTAAAAGCATTTTCCTTTATATCGGAACGAGCCATGATGTCTGCTTTCATCATCACTCATATTCAACTAAGTTCTAGCCACAGGGATCAGATAGGATGAAGAAATAAAAGGCATCACCCAAATAGAAGAAAGTAAAACTCATTGTTCTCAGATAACATGATATTGTACATAGAAAACCTTGAACCCTCCATCAAATGATTTGATAGAATAAATGAATTTGGCAAAGTATCAGGAAATCAATAGCATTCTTATACACCAATAATGAAATCTCATAAAGAGAAATTAAGAAATAATCCTATTTACTGTTACAACAAAACACACACACATAATAATCTGTACTTTGAAAACTATAGTACATTGAAGAAAAAAATTGAGTAAGATACAAATAAGTGGAAGCATTTACTGTGTTCATGTATTGGGAAAATTAACATTATTAAAATGTCCATACTATCCAAAGCAATCTATAGATCCAATGAAATTCCTATTAAAATACCAATGGCATATTTTAAAGATCTAGAAAAAAACATTCTAAAACTATACGGAACAAAGCAGACCCCAAAATAGCCTCAGAAATCTTAAGAACAAAGTTGGAGATATCACAATACTTGATATCAAACTATACTACAATGCCATTGCAATTTTTAAAAAGACTCGTTCTGAAAAAGAACAGGCGTATAGATCAATAGAACAAAACAGATGACCCAGAAATAAATCCAAATTAATATTTGACAAAGGAGGCAAAAGCATAAAATGGAGTAAAGACAGTCTCTTCAGTAAATGGTGTTGAGAAAATTAGACAGTTAAATGCAAAAAAAATTTTTTTTTTAATTAGACCACTAACATACACCATACACAAGAATGAACTCAAAATGGATAAAAGACTTAAATGTAAGTCATAAAAATCCTAGAAGAAAATATAGGCAGTAAAATCTCAGATATGCCAAGGTTGTGGGTTTGATCCACAATGTATACATGAATAAGTAGAAGAACAAATTGTTGCCTCTCTCTCTCTCTCTCTCTCTCTCTCTCTCTCTCTCTCTCTCTCTCTCTCTCTCTCCTCTCCTCTCCTCTCCTCTCCTCTCCTCTCCTCTCCTCTCCCCCATCTCTTTCTCTAAAAATTCAACTAAAATTTAATACAAATGGATATAGAAATAAAAAGAAAATTATATTTAAAAAATAAAATTTATGTAAACAGATAAAACAGAGATCTTTCACTTTAGAATATTTATATAAAAATTAGTAAAAAAAAAAAAAAAACAACTTCATTTTTATGTGAACATAACTAATCATGTTTCAATAGCACTATTCTTGACAGACTGTTACTGCGTTCCCTTACATCCTCAAATAGTCACTGTATATATTGCTATATGGACCCCGAGAATGGACCCTTAAACCACTCACTCTTCTAGAGATCGATCCAGGCCTCGGTCAGGAGATCGGTGGTGAGCACGTTCTGGTGAATGACATTTAGCATTTGGCTTTATCGTAGAATTCAAATAATAAGCATTACTTGAGTAATTCTGGCGGCGAAGTTCTTGCACAGCCCTTTCCCTAAAGCAAAAAAAAAAAAAAAATTTTTTTAAACAAAACTTTTGAATTTTGTATTCAGTGGCATTATTAATCCAGTGGTGAAACTGAAGTTCCATTCACACTTTAAAACCTAGCCATCATGGAATAACCAGAATCTGTTGTTAGCTGGGAAAGAATGCTCCCAGCCTAAAGACTTCATAGAGACCAACTCACCTTTCAAAGCGCTCGGTGCCCAGCTGTCTTTTGGTAATGTCTAAGTCAGCTTCCAGTTGTGTGACGACATTCCTGAACTGGGCCACGTCTCTACTCTGGATGGCCCTGTGTGGCAGAATGTAAGAGAGAGAGTTGATTAGACTTTAAAGTCTAGAACATTCTGAACCATGCTGGCAATGTTTCCTTAGCTGGATCCAAGCCAAACTGTGATCTCTATGGACATATTTGCCAATTTTAGGTGTAGTAAATGTACAGGTAGCCTACTTAAAAAGCTTAAGGTGTGCCAATCACATTCAGTTAGTTAAACTTTCTCTGCATCAGTTTCCTTGTGTTTACGTGATGTAATATTATCTGTTATCTGTGTCTATTATCTGTTTATAGCACATTATTTTTTAGAAAAGTGCTTTAAAGTATTATACTCTTCAGTAATGGTATAACCAAGTAACCAAAACTGGAAGTCTAATGGTCTGTAATATATTAGATCAACCATGTGCTTTGTGTACACTCAGAATTAAATCTGATATTCCTGCACACACTCTCCTCCATTTAACAGGATCTCCTTTAGGGCTAACCATGCCACAAACTCCCATCACATGGTGCCCTGCATCAGGAAGATAACGACGGAGACGAAGGCTGCTTGTACAGAGCACCCTACCCTTGCTGCTTGTTCCCAGGACGGCACTCTAGGACACACAAGCTGATGGTGTTTACCCGTGTAAGGGACAGTACCGGTCAGCCAGTCTAGAACAGAAGGTAGCCTTTAAGGTTACATTCTTCAGAGATTTCCACCTCCGACTTGAGAAAGTGACCTGGCAGAACCGGTTAAAGGTAGCACAACAGCCCAGCTGCAGCGACTAAGAAGGACTCAGTGACAGCTGCCATGACCTCAAACAGCGTCTGAAGGAACTGGCATGGGCTTTGCAGGCTGGGCTCAGTCAGGGGCTCCTGTGAGTGCCTGATTCCTGAGATCATGGTTCCTATTCCTCCCCAGGCCCCAAGCTCAGATAGAAGGGCAGAGTTGAGGCTGGATGAAAAAGTGTTCTAGAGGAGAGAATAGATCAGAGGCTGGGGGTCCCCATGCCTCTGTTTTTGGTGAGGGGTTAACAACAGACCAAGTTTAACAACAGAACACTCACTATCCAGGCAGGTATTTCCACCCACCCTTCCAGCAGGGTCCTGGAATAAGCTGCTAATGGTGCTGGGATGCTGAAAGCAGCAGCCACAATCAACGCCCTAAGGGAAGTCTTCAGTATTCTGTGAATGCAGGAGTCCTTCCAGGTACCTAGTATGTACCTTATAGGTACACAAGCAAACACCGTGTGACAATAGAAAGATTAGGGAGCAATACCAGGTGAGTTCATATATAGAAAAATTCTTCTGGTTTCAGAAGTGTTTTTTTTTTTTTCTAATTGGGTTATAATAATTCCTAAAGGCATTATTATAGATTAGTCATCTTATTATACCCAAAGCTCCACTGGAAACAATCAACACAATGGTTAAACTTAAATTTAAATCAATTTAGCTGAACAAGTAATAGAAACTAGTACTACATTTTTGGCAAATCACAATATTTCTGGTGCTCAGTTTAATTAATGGCTAATTATGGATGCTTAAATTATATAAATTCCAGCTTTAAAATTCTACTAGCCAATAAAGTATCAAAAACTTACGGAATATGACTTTGTTATGATGCTGCTAAGAAACTCACATTTTATTTTCTGCCAAACACAGGTGTTCTTTAAGCAGCTGAATTTCAGATTCTTTTTCTTGAAGCGCTATCTGAGTCTGATACTCTTTGTCCCGATTGGCCACCAGCAAAGTTTCTAGATTCTGCATGGAGATTCTCTCATTTGTCATCTGACTTCTAAGGAGTTCTATTTCAGACCGAGCAGAATCTAACTCATTCTCCATCTGTACAACAATAGGAAGATATCTATACTTATTCCCATTCATTCATTAACTGACAGATTATCAAAGACTTATAAAATTTTTGTATTATATAATAAAATAAGAACCCCCTTTAATTTTTTCTTTTTTAAATTCCTCAATTGATATGTTTTTTATTGATTTTAGAGAGATGAATGTGAGAGAATGAGAGAGATAAACTTTAATGTGCGAGTGAAACTTTGATCAGTTGCCTCCCATATGCACCCCCAAAGGGAACAAACCTGCAACCTAGGTATGTGCCCTGACCAGGAATCAAACCCACAACCTTTTGGTGTATGGGATGATGCTCTAACCACCTGATCCACCTGGCCATGGCCCTTTTAATTTCTTGATTAGAAATATTGCCGTCCTTCTTATCAAACACACACACACACACAGTTCATTTCAGTCCCAACTTTTTGATCATATTAGAAAATTCATTAAGTAATAAGTTATTAATCCCAAACTGCAAACAATTTCCACTTCCAGCTTTGATTTTATTTATATATTTCTGCATGACTGACATGGTGAAGCCTGTGACTACTGCTTTTACTGTGTGAGGCGAGTGACTTATGGAGTATCATTGCATTCCATTGTTAAGAAAGACAAATGAGATTATTGCCTAGCCAGCATGGCTCAGTGATTGAGTGTCTACCTATGAACCAATTGATTCTCAGTCAGGGCACATGCCCAAGGTTGCAGGCTCCATCCCCAGTAGGGGGCATGCAGGAGGCAGCCGATCAATGAGTCTCTCTCACCATTGATATTTCTTTCACTTTTTCCCTCTTCACTCCTCTCTGAAATAAACAAAAACATACCTTTAAAAATGAGATTATTGGTGGATGGGGAGGCAGCTAGGGGAAGAACTTTCTAGACTAGATACAATTAAAAAATTATGTCTGACCAAACAAAAATATAGTGATGGTCAATATAAACTAAAATTTTCCAGAAAACAACTGAAAGAAAACAGACTCAGTAAATAAAATACAGAGTTAATATCTTAATATAAGGAACTCATACAAATTAAAGAGAAATATGAACAGAAAATTTACAAAATATAGCTATTCGGAAACATGTGGGAAAATTTACTCTTATGAATAATCAAAGAAATGTAAATTAAAACAAGATGCTATTTCGAGTCCAGGGTATCTTCACCTTGACAGGAGGGACCTTTTGGGTTGGATGAGTATGTGGCATAGGGAGCTGCCTATGCCTGCAGTGTGCTTACAGCACCCCTGCCCTCTACTAGAGGCCAGTGGGATCCCCCACCCCAGCAGTGACACCCACAAAGTCTCCAGACATTGCTGGATGTCCACTGGGGGGCAAAATCTCTTTCAGTTGAACCACTATTTCAGTTTAACAAATTAGTGAGTTTCTTAGTGCATGTTGATTAACATTAAAATGGGCAATTATAATTTCATACACTCTGCTGTCAATAATACCAAATAGAGTGTCACCTTTTTTGGTAAAAAGGTTTATTAGAATATAATTTACATACCACAAAACTTACCCATTCCAAAGGCACAATTTAATTTTTTTAGTATGTTAAAAGAGTTGTGCAATAACACCACAATCTCATAATCTAGTGTTAGAATTTTTCATCATCTGCAAATAAAACCCAGTTAGAATCTCCCCAAATACCCACTGTCCACCACCCCAGCATCTGCCTGAAGCAATCCCTAATCTTCTTCTATGATCTGTCTTATTCTGGACATTTTATGTAAATGGAATAACACAACATGAGTGTGGTCTATTGTTATTGGCTTCCTTCCTTTAGCTTAATGTTTTCAAGAGTCATCCATGATTTAGCAGCTATCAGTACTTCACTAATAAAAACATTTAAAAATATTTTTATTGTTGGCAGTGTTAAACACGTCTCTTAATTTCTTCCCTCCTTTACACCCCTCTTCCCGGTCCCTGCCCCACCTTAGGCCTTCACCACACTATTGTCTGTGTCTATTGGTTATGCATATCTTATATAATAAAAGCTTAATATGCTAAGTGTCCAGTTAAACCATTGTTCAACCAATCAAATCATGATATGCTAATGATATGCCAAGGCTGATCAACGGCTTGCTATGACATGCAATGACCACCAGGAGGCAGATGCTCTGATTGGTAGGTTAGTTTGCTGCTGGGGTCCAGCCAATCAGGACTCAGCTAGTTGGGCGAGACACGCCCTGGAGCCCTCCGGTGGTCCCTCCCCAGCTGGCCCATCTTCCACATCCCTCCCCAGTCCTGATTGTGCACCCATGGGATCCTTGGGCCTTGCCTGCACCTTCTCACATCTGGGACCCCTTGGTGCATGTCAGAGAACCGGTTTTGGCCCAATCCTGCAGGCCAGGCTGAGGGACCCCACTGGTGCACTCTAGTATGAATGTAAGTTCTTGGATTAATCTCTTCCTGTCTTCTCCCACCCCTCTTCCCTTTAAGATGTCAGTCTGTTCCATGTCTCAATGCCTCTGGCCCTATTTTGTTAGTCAGCAAAAGGTAGATTAGGGATTGCTTCAGGCAGATGCTGGGGTGGTGGACAGTGGGAATGTGGGAAGATTCTAATGGGTACTGGGTTTTATTGGCAGATGATGAAAAATTCTAACACTAGATTATGAGATTGTGGTGTTATTGCACAACTCTTTTAACATACTAAAAAAATTAAATTGTGCCTTTGGAAAGGGCGAGTTTTGTGGTATGAAAATTATATTCTAATAAACCTTTTATCAAAAAAGGTGACACTCCATTTCATTAGATTCCACTTATAAGTGAGATCATGTGCTATTTGTCTTTCTTTAAATGGCTTGTTTCACTAAGCATACTACTTTCCAGATCCATCCATGCTGTCACAAAGGGTAAGAAATCCTTATTTTTTACAGTTGCATTATATTTCACTGTGTAAATGCACCAGAGCTTTTTATCCACTCATCTACTGATGGGCATGTGGTCTCTTTCCAGACTTTAGCTACTGTAATATGCTGCTATGTATGTAGAGGTGCATATATCCTTTCTGATTGGTGTTTAGTTAATCTTAAGAATCAACAAACAACACATGCCTGTGAGGATGTGGGAAAAAGGGAACCCTAGTATACTGCCAGTGGTAATGCAGAATGGTGCAGCCACTATGAAAAACTAGATGGAATTAACTTAAAAAATTTAAAATGGAACTACAGGCCCTTGCTCGCATTGCTCAGTGGTTAGAATAATGCACATGCCCAGGTTTCAGGCTCATCCCCAGTAGGGGGCATGCAGGAGGCAGCCGATGTAGGTGCACACATCAGAGGGTCTTAGGTTCGATTCCCAATCAAAGGCACATACCTGGTCCCTGGCCCTGATCAGGGCACATGTGGAAGGCAACCAATCAATGTCTCTCTCTCACATTGATGTTTCTCTCTCCTCTGTCTCTTTTTCTCTCTCTCCTTACCCTATCCCTTCCACTTTCTCTAAAAATCAATGGAAAAAATATCATTGGGAGAAGATTATAAAAACCAACCAAACGAACAAACAAACAAAAAAAGAAACTACCTTTTAGCCCATTGATCCCACTTCTAAGATTACTTAATTATATTTAATGCCAAATAATATTCCCTTGCATAAATGTGGGGACATTTGAGCTATTTACACTTTCTAGCTATTATAAATAATGTGGCTAACAATATATATCCAGAGACAGAGAAGCATCGAACAGACCATCAAACCTCAGAGGGAAGGCAGGGGAGGGTCTGGGGGAAAGAGGATAAGATCAACCAAAGGACTTGTATGCATGCATATGAGCATAATGAATGGACACAAGACATTAGTGGGGTGAGGGCATGTGGGTGGGTGCAGGAAGAGGTCAATGGGGGAAAAAGGAGACATAGTACTTTAAACAATAAAGAATTTTTAATAAAAGCAAATGGAATTGTCTTACGATGTAGCAATTCCACTTATGGGAATATAGCCCAAGAAACCAGAGACATTGAATTCAATGAATATATTAATCCCCATGTTCATTTCAGCATCATTTATAATAGCCAAAATTTAGAAGCAGCCCAAGTGTCCATCAGCACAAGAGTGGATATAAAAGCTGTGGTATATTTACACAATGGAATACTACTTGATTAAAAAAAAAAAAAAAAAAAGGAAATCTTTCACTTTGTGATAGCATGGATGGACCTGAGAGCATTATGTTCAATGAAATAAGCCAGTCAGAGAAATACAAGTAGACATATGGAATCTAATTAGCAAAATAAACTAACAAGCAAAATAGTGACAAAATCTAGATAGATAGATAGATGACAGGTTGAGAACTGTTGAGGGGCTGAGGATGTGTGGCTGGGAGGGTGGAGAAGTTGAGGGAAGGGAGGGAGGGAGGGAGGGAAGGAGGAAGGGAGAGAAAGAGGGAGAGAGGGACAGAGAAAAAGAGAGAGAGAGAGAGAGAGAGAGACAGAGAGAGACATGAACTCATGGAAAGTGACAACAGTGTGATGGTTTCCAGCAGGAGGTGGGGTGGAGAGATGTGTAGAAGATTATAGAGTGACAAATGGTGATGGACAGAGACCTGACGTGGGTGGTGAACACACAATACTGTGTACAGATGATGTGTTGTAGAATTGTGCACCTGAAACATGTATAGTTTCTTACGAATAATGTAACCCACAATAAATTCAATAAAAAGATAAAAAGATAAGACTGTAAAGCATTCTAAAACTGCTTATTCCAGCACTTTAAATCAATTTTATTGGGAAATGAAGGCAAAGATACAGATCTTTTGCCTTTAACCTCAACTTCTCACTTAAAATTATCTGAGTATTTCCAGGGATGCAGGCTGATTCAATATGAAAAATAAATTAATGTAATCTATAATATCAACAAACCGAAGGAGAAAATTTTTTTTCAGTGATTAATAAATTTAATAATAGAATTTAAAACTTTTGCTCAGAAATAAAAACAAACATCAAAAAGCCCCCCTCCCCCCAATTCATAACCAGATGGGAAAAATATAACTACCAAATGGCTAATTCTTTAATTAAAGGAAAGAATAAAGGAACCCAGGATTGCCAGATTTAAAGGAGAAAAATTACATGAGCATATTATCTGATGCAGAGGGAGCATTTGACAAAAATTCAACATCCATTCATTCCAAAAGTCTCAGAAATATAGGAATAGAGAAAATATTCCAGACCTTGATCAAGAGCATCTATGAAATATAAAGAACTCTCAATAATAGCATTAAAAAAGCAAACAATTCAATGAGAATATGGACAAAAGACATAAAGAGACAGTTCACTAAAGAAGATAGATGGCAAATAAGCACACTAAAAAGGTATCATTAGAGAAATACAAATAGATGATGATATAGCACTATACACATCAGAATGGCTAGAATAAAACATAGTGACAATATCAAATGCTGACAAGGAAGTGGGAAAACTGGATCACTCATTCATTGTTGGTAGGAATGCAAAATGATACAGACACTTGGGGAAATAGTTTGGCACTTTTCTATGAAACTTATCATGGAACTATTATATAATACAAGAAATTGCATTCCTGGGCATTTACAGAGAAATTAAGACTCATGTTTACAAAAACCTGTACACAATTGTTTACAACAACTTTATTTGTAAGATCCAAAAACTGGAAATAATCCAGATGTCCTTCAATCAGTCAATGGTTAAATATGCTGTTACACCAACTGTATGGAATACTACTCAGCAACAAAAAGGAGTGAACTATTAATACATAGAACTACCTAGATGAATCTTCGAAGAATTATGCTGAGTAAAAAAAATCCCTAAAAGTTACATAATTGTGTGTAATTATAGAAATGGATAACAGATTTTAAGGAGGGGTTGGGGATAAAAGGAAAGTAGATAGGACTACAAAAAGGGCAACATGATGGATCCTGTAATGGAAAAAATCTTGCCTGAATCTCAGTGAGCATCCTGATTGTGATATTCTACTACAGTTTTGTAAGATGTTACTATTGGGGGAGACCAGGTAAAGAATACACAAGATGTCTTTGTACTATGTCTTACAATTGTATGTGAATCTACAGTGATCTCAAATCAAAAGTTTAATTAAAAAAAAGTATTGTAGAGAAAAAGAAACCCTCATTCACTGCTGGTAGGAATGTAAACTGGTACAGCCACTATGAAAAATAGTATGGAGGCTCCTCAAAAACTTATTAATAGAGTTACCATATGACCCAGCAATACCTCTTCTGGGTATTTACCTAAAAAACTTGAAACAATTTATTTGCAAAGGTATATGCATGCCTATGTTCACTGGAGCATTACTGATGGTGGCCAAGACATTGAAACAGCTTAAGTGCCCTTAGATAGATGATTAGATAAAGATGATGTGGTACCTATACATAACAAAATACTACTCAGACATAAGGAAGGATGAAATACTGCCATTTGGAACAACATGGATGGACCTTAAGAAAAAAGTCAAACAGAAAAAGTCAAGCACCATATTATTACACTCATATGTGGGATATAAAACTGAAAGCAACAAACAAATAAATAATAAACTCCCCCCCCCACACACACAAATTTATAGACATAAATAATAGTATGGTAGTTACCAGGGGGAAGGGGATTGAAGAATAGTAAAAAGAAAAGGGGATCAAATATATGGTGACAGAAGATTTGATTTTGGGTTGTGGTCACACAATGCAATATACAAATGCTATATTATTGAATTATACATTTGAAACTTATATAATTTTATTAACCAATGTCACTACAATAAAATTTAAAAAGTATTTGTGTCCACTGAGCACATAATACAGATAAAGAAATACAAAGATGCCTGGGCCATTGTCGCTCAGTGGTTGGAGCACTGGCCTGCATTCCTATAGGTTACAGGTTCAATCTCCGGTCTCGGTTAGGGTGTGTGTGGGAGGCAACCAATTGATGTATCTCTCTCAAAACTGATGTTTCTCTTTCTCTCTCTCTCCCTCCTTTCCTTTTACTCTTAAAAAAAAATAAAGAGAAAGGAAAAATATCCTCCAGTGAGAAAAATTAACAAAAAAGAAAAGAAATACAAAGATAAGTAAGATGGTCCTTGCCCTTGAAATTAGAGTTTACTAGAGGCCTGGTGCACAAATTTGTTGGGTCCCTCAGCCTGGCTTGTGGAATTGGGCCAAAACTGGCTCTCCAACATCCCCTGAGGGGTCTCAGATTATGAGAGGGCACAGGCCAGGCCAAGGGAACCCACCACTGCACCATCAGGCTGGGGAGGTTGGTCAGCTGGGGAGGGGTCATGGGAGGGATCCAGGACATGACCAGCCCATCTTGCTAAGTCCCCATTGGCCAGGCCCCAGCAGCAAGCTAACCTCAGAGCATCTGCCTTCTGGTGGTCAGTACACATTATAGTGACTTGTTGTCTGTCTGCCCCCCTGGTGGTCAGTGCCTGTGATAGTGAGTGTTTGAGTGGCCTTAGCATATCATTACACTTTGATGGGTTGAACAGACGACTTGACGATTAGACACTTAGCATATTAGGCTTTTATTATATAAGATTATAGAAAAAAACATATAATATAAACATAAATAACTAAATTTCAAGGCAAAAAGATTGTCATGAGTATTTTTAAATGCAATGAGCATTAGCCTGACTACTTAACAACTATTAGGATAGCTATTGTAAAAAAAAGAAAAGAAAAAACAGAATTACAAATAAAAAAATTTTCAATTATTACATGTATCGATATTATTTTTCTAATTTGAAAACACCAACTAAAAAATATTTTTAAAGAAAAAAATAAGGGCATATTATTTAAATTTTTACAGTGAGTATGAGTTACTTTCATCATTAAAATGTTTTTGCTGAAATAAAAAATAATTAAAGGTAGAGTCTGACAATACTGGCATTACACTTCATTCATAAAATATAAACAGTAAATTCTTACAGAAACCAGAGCTAGATACATGATTCTCAAATACAACATATTATCCTAACAAATAGTAGTCTAAGAAAACTAAAATTTCAATAGGATTTGAAAATAACAGAAATGTACACATGACCAAAATTTGTTAATTCTTCAGGTACACTACGCAACTTGTATACATATACTTTAGGATCAGGGTTCCTCCTGTCTCTCCAGATGCATCTCCAGCCATTTTCACCCATGCATGCTACACTGGCCATTGAAAATTTCTTACTATTCCCTCAAGAAATTGCTTTTACCTCCATACATTCCCTATGTTGTTCCCTCTGAATGAAACACCTCACCTCTTATGTGCTTATTAGCATGTCCACTCCCTCCTGACACCCACGGGTTGAATAGGAACTCCCTCCCTAAAACCATGAGTATTTATTAGTATAACATTCATCCCAATGTCAATACTGAAAGGTCCTTGAGAATAAGGGCCTGTATCTTTTGTATATTATAGTCACATATAGTCATATATAATATATGTAATCAATAGAATTACAGTTTAAAAGAACCCAATTGGTAAATAAATTTAGCTTAAAAGAATGTCATTGAAGTTATAATTTAGCTGATAGACCTCAACCTCATGGTTCTTTACTGATTGGTATGTAAAGATGTTTCATAATCCTCCTAGACAAAAGTAAATATAAATTAAATGCTCAGAGGAAGAGTTATGTTACTTACTTGAATTGTTGGAATATAGCTGTCAAGTTAATTTCTGAGACTTAAAAAAGAAATCTAAAGGTGAAAGACAGGCTTGATATAATATTAAAAACAGAACTTTTTTCTAACCCTGTAGTAATACTAAAAATATAAAAAAATAAAACATTTTAAATGCATTACATACCATTTCAATTTCTTGATCTTTAGCAATCAGCTGCTGATTAAGAAGGTCTTTGCTTGAGTCAAGTTTAATACAAAGTTCCCTTGTGGAAGACAAGTCTGCAAGGGCAGACACCTTTTCAAACTGAACCTTCTGAAGCTCCTCTTCCATCTTCATAAGAGATTTATGCAACGTACAGATCTGGGCCTTGTAAGACCTTTCTGCATTCAAGTGCTACAAAGACAAAATTATTATTTTAGTTTTTAACTTGGAAAAAAACTACAACATGGGACATAAAATGGGGTAAATCTTTTAACAATAGTACACTTAGATTATAAGGAACTTTAGATACTACAGGTTGTAATGGATGTTCAAAACACTCTGACACATACATTTGGGTTTCAAGTTCTATACCCAAAGCCCATGAGTAAGGTGGTCAAACGGTCATATTTGGAAAACATTTAGAAGTGTCTGCCCCAAAGCTAGTTGAAATATATACATGCTTTATTTATAGTTCTGTCCATATTTGCCACAGTTTTAATTATTCCATAATATAAATATTGTTTTTATCAACAAGTGACAAACAAAACATTAGCCACTATTACACTCACAATACCATTTTTTCCAGTTCTTAAAGGGTCTGTTGATATCAATAATATCATAAAATGAGATGACAACTCTCTAGCACTTACTCGTGCCTGAGGGAAAAAGACTCTGGGCAAGTATAAATTAAAAAGACATCCATTATGAGAAATAAGAGCATGTTTTAAAAATAATAATGTGAGCCTTGGTCAATGTTGCTAAGTGGTTAGAGCAATGGCCCAAAGGGTTGCAGGTCTGGTTCCCAGACAAGGGCAGGTATGTGGGTAGCAGGTCTGATCCCTGGCCCCAGTTGGGTGTGTGCAGGAGGCAACCAATTGATATGACTCTCTCTCATCAATGTTTCTCTCTCTCTTTCCCTCTTACCCTCCTCTCTCCCTTCAATGAATAAAACCAATGAAAAAAATATCTTCGGGTGAGGATTAACAAAAAACTGGTAATAAAGATTCAAGTTATATAAATGTTTTCAAACATTCAAGATAATGCCCTTCTTTTTTTCCCCCAGAAAAAAAGAAATCTTAATTACACCGCCACTAATAGAGAAGTATTTGTTATTATACGTAAGATAACAAAATTGAGAGGCAAATTAAGACACTTTTCTGCTTCTACAAGTACAAAGTACACAAAAATTGCTCCTGGAATAAATTATTTGGTCACAATTCACTCCTACCTTTCTCCCTCCCTTCCTTCCTTACTCACTCTATTTCTCACTTATTCTTTAAATAATCTACCCATCTATTCTATATTTATTGTATATTCTATGTTTCAGTCAATGTGCTTAGATGCATACCAATGATACACAACATGGTCTGTGCTCTCATAAAGCTTTCTGACTATGGGGGTGTCATGAATCAATCAAATAAACAATGAATATATTAATACATATTAAGAAAACACTTCCAGAGAAAGGGGTGTGTAATAAAGGAACGTGACTTAAACTGAGAGTCAGGAGAGGTTTTCCTGAGCAAATGCCAGTTGAGGTGAATGAGATCTGCAAGGTGAGCAGGTGTATTCAGCGTGTGTTGGAGAGAGCTTCTTTCCAAGTCAGGAACGCTAAGGGCAAAGCTGTAGAGGGCGTGTGTGAAAGGAGGGAAATGACACGCTCCAATAAGAGAGGGAGGCCGGTATGGCAGGGGCCCGGAGAGCACAGGGAAGAGTGGGAGGGGATGCCATTGAGAAGGTATACAGAATAGAGCCTAGGGAATTTCCTGGAGGATCCAAGATGGCTGCACAGGTAAACACCTAACTGCAGCCGCACACAACAATTTCAATAAAATACAACTAAAATATAAAATGGACATTACCAAGAACTACAGGAAAGGCAACTGAATGGAAATTCTACAATGAGAAGCAAAGAGAAAACCAGAAGGAAGAGCGGAGGAGCTGTAAAAGCCTAAGGTACGGAGACACGCGGTGTGTGCGGAGAGGACAGAGCCGGAGAGGAGTGGGCAGCTGAATGCCTGGCTGGCGTTTTCTAGTGGGAAGGAGATAAAAAGCTCTGACTGTGCTGAACCCCAGATCTGACTGCTCTGAACCCTAGTTCTGGGCCAGACCCCGGGGACCCAGGCTCATCCAGAGGAAGCTGGGCTGTAGGGAGAGCGGTGAAAGGAGGTCTCGGAGGCGCACACATTGCGTGCAGAGAAGGGACAGTTGGCTGTGCCGCGGGATTGCCCTGGTGGGAAGGAGACAGGGGCTCCAGATTGCTCTGAATGCCATCTCCAATCCCAATTCCAACTGAACTGAACCCCAGTTCCAGGCTCATTGGGGGAGAGCCTAGACTGTTTGGTAGCAGGCGAAACTTGAGGGCACCTCACTCTCAGAGGTGCTTGCAACGAGTACTGAAGGACCCTGGGGATCATAGGGCATGGCTGATGGAAATCAAGCCTGTAGGCTCCATCCTGAAACTCCGCTCCATCAGGGAAGCTGTGAAAATGCCGAGACTAGGAAATAGATCACAAACGAAAGAAATGGGGGACAAAAAGCGACTGGATATAGAGTTCAAAACCACACTTATAAGGTTGTTCAAGAATCTCCTAGAAAAGGCTGATAAAATAAACGAGACCTATGAGGATATGAAAAGGGATCAACTAGAAATAATATGGGATTAACAAGAAATAATAAGGGCTCAACAAGAAATAAAGAATACATTGTCTGAAATAAAAAATATTATACAGAGTCCTAAAAACAGAATGGAAGATCACAAGAATCAAGTCAAAGATTTGGAACATAAAGAGCCAGAAGACACTCTTCCGCAGAAGCAAGAAGACAAGAGATTCCAGAAAGTTGAAGATAATGTAAGAAACCTCTGGGACAACTTCAAGCGAACCAGCATCAGAATTATGGGGGTCCCAGAAGATGAGAGAGAGCAAGATATCGAAAACATACTGAAAGAAATAGTGACAGAAAACTTCCCCCACCTGGTGAAAGAATTAGACTTACAAGTCCAGGAAGCACACAGAACTCCAAACAAAAGGAACCCAAAGAAGACCACACCAAGACAAATCATAATTAAAATTCCAAGAGCAAAAGACAAAGAGAGAATATTAAAAGCAGCAAGAGCAAAGAAGGTAGTTACCTATAGAGGAACACCCATACGATTATCAGCTGATTTCTCAATAGAAACCATGCAGGCCAGACGGGAATGGCAAGAAATATTCAAAGTGATGAATAGTAAGAACCTACAGCCAAAAATAATCTACCCAGCAAAGCTATCACTCAGAATCGAAGGCCAGATAAAGAGCTTCACCAATAAAAAAAAGCTAAAGGAGTTCATCACCACCAAACCAGAATTATATGAATTGCTGAAGGGGGTTCTTTCGGAAGAGAAAGTAAATAAAGATAAAAACTATGAACAACAAATACGTAACTATCAACAAGTGAATCTAAAAACCAAAAAAATTAAAAAAAAATCTGATGAACAATATTAACTGTTGAATATAATAGAATCAGAGGTATGGAAGGGGAGTGAACTGACGATTCTCATGGAAAAGAGGAGATGGGGATGTGGGAAGAGACTGAACATAAACTGTGCACCTATGGGTGAGGACAATGATGGGGGGGCAGAAGCTGGGGTGGGAACCTGGTGGAGGGGAGCAACGGAGGCGGGGGGGAAGAGCAACACCTGTAATAATATGAACAATAAAGAGTTAAAAAAAATAGATCCTAGTCAGTGGGTTAAAAATTAGGTCTTTATCTACTGAAAGGTCTACAGAGGGAGGTGATAACAATTAGTTTTGTTTGGAAAAGGTCACTCTGTTATGTTTCAGATTCCAGTAAGGTAGTGATTAAGAGGAAAACCTTTTAAAGGCTAAGATAAAATAGAACAAAAAAAGATTTTTGTAATTCAAAGATGAGCTTTCAAGGAAGAATGAAACATTCTCACATGCCAAAAACAAAGAGAAAACAAAGCCAGAACAGAAAGCAAATGAAAGCCTAAAGCTAAGAGTGAGGGTAGAAAGAGCCACTTACGGTGAATAACTTACGTTTCAACTTTCAAGCAAGGATAGGAGACCAGAATGCAGAATTAACGGAGAGCTGGAACTGAGACCTGTACATAATTTGGGACCCTTGAGAGAAGGCTCCAGAGGGGGGAAAAAATCCACTCAACCTCACAGAGATACAAACAAAAATTTATCTTGACCTAGTCTCTGGATATGAGAAAAACTGTCTTCTATAAGAAACTGAAACCTCAGGTCTGCCTTCACTCACATGTGAAGTCGGACTTTACACTATACATTCCAAATTCTAAACTTCAACATAAAGCTTGAAGAAGCCCACCCAGCTCCTTGGCCATGCAAGTCTATAGGAGAAAAAAAAAATGTCCTTCTCAAGAGGAGGTTACAGTCAAATAATGAGAATCCAAGTAACACAGCACATAGCAGGACCAGAGTACTAAACTCACATTATGGAACAAAATATTTTAGAAGGCATGGAAAATATGCTTAAAAGTTTTAAAGGCATTAAGAAAAAAGTTTAAAGAGGACATTAAAGAAAAATTTAAAAGATTCCTCTTCTATTTCAAGAAGGATCAAATAGAACTTTTAGAAAGAAAAAGTAAATGAAAATTAATGAATGAATTAAAAAAACATAATGGTACAGCTTGAAAGGAAAGAATGAACTAGATGATGGATTACAACATAGATAAATAAACATCTGAAACATAGGATAAAAATATTAATAAACAATTGGGCTAAAAGATTCAAATAGTGTATTATAAAAGCTAAAGGAAACAGTAAAATAACATTCTTCTCAAGTGCACATGGAACATTCTCAAAGATATACTACATGTTAGGACACAAAATAGGTCTTAGCAAATATAAGAAACTGAAGTCATATCAAGCATCTTCTCAGATCACAATGAAATGAAACCAGAAATCAAATACAATAAAAAAACTTAAAAACATTAAAATACATGAAAGATAAATAGCATGTTATTAAACAATGAATGGGTTACCAAAAAGATCAAGGAAACAAACAAACAAACAAAAAAATTCCTGGAAACAAATGAAAATGAACACACAACAAGGCAAAAACCTATGGGACACAGTGAAAGCAGTCCTGAGGTTAAAGGGTTAAAGTGTCACAGGCCTACCTCAAGAAACAAGAAAAAGCTCAAATAAGCATTCAAACACTAC